TAACTTTAGTAAGTTTTCTTGGGTGTGGTGCAAGATTGTCAACCCGCTAGTATCCAATGAAGGTAATCTATCTTCGAATTTTAAGTGCATTATGGGTAATGGTGTTAAAATTGATTTTTGGAATAATTATTGGACTGAAAACTTTTCTCTAAAAGCTTCATTCCCTAGAATTTTCAGCCTGGCTAATAAAAAATCTGGGAAGATTATTGAATTTGGGAGTTGGGAGAACGGTGTGTGGGTATGGAGGATAGAGTTAAGGAGAAATCTGTTTGTTTGGGAAAATTCATTGTGGTCGAGTTTCTTAATGGTTCTTAACTGAGCTATTAGCTCAGTTCCTGCTCTAGATAGATTAGCTTGAGGACGTTCTTCCGATGGTAGGTACTCTCCTAAGTCTTTTTGTTTGAGGGTAGCTACTGCAGGTAAAGTGGAAAACTCAATCTGGAAATCTGTTTGGTGCAAATTCGTCCCTCCAAATTTTTCTGGCTTTGTATGGAAAGCAGTGCATCAAAGATTGCCGGTTACTTCAGAGCTGGAAAAGCGAGGTGTTCGTTGTTCTGATAATTTCAATTGTTCTTTCTGCAATTGTGCGCCTGAAACTATTAATCATGTTCTTTGCCATTGCGACTGTGTCTGGAAAGTTTGGCAAAAATGGTGTTCTGTGTGGAATATTAGTATTGTTTTTCCATTGAATGTGAAAGAATTGCTACAGGTATGGGTTTCCCAGAGAGTTAGAAAGAAATTTCGTGCATTATAGAACATCGGTTTTTCGGGTTGATCTGGCAAATCTGGTTGTTCAGAAATAAAATCAGGTTTGAGGGTAGATTTTTTTCGGTTGATCAGATGTTCCATCTAGCTATAATTCAGATTGGTGAATGGGCTAAAACGAATTGGCCATTGCTGGTCCCGAGTATTCAAGACTTTGTTTGTAGTCCTGAATATTTATTGCTTGATTGTTACTGAAAGGTGATCGAATATGTGTAAAGTTTTCTTCTGTTGGTTCCTATGTTTTTGGTCTTCCTTTTCTCCAGTTTCTTGCGTGGTGGTCGTTTGATTGGTTCTTGGGTATGTTTTCTGGTTTACAGTTGCTGTGGATGCTGCTCCTTTAGCAGCTGTGTTATTGCTTTGTGATAGATTGTTTTTGTGTTGGAACTATTATCGTGTTCTTTGAACGCCACCACTTCAAAGTATACTCTTTTTCCTCCATCTAGGTTCTAAGGAGGTTTTTAATGAGATCCTTGTCGTGGTGTACTTTGTACCTTTTTAATACAAAGTACCATTTAAAAAAAAAAAACAAGCAATAAAAATTTACCAATTAACTTCATATAGCACTCCATAACTTATAGTCTTTAATTGATCTTTCTTTCCCTTTAATTTAAGTTCCAATATGACTTAATTTTATTAATATCATACTGATTTCATGAGTAATTGAACATAGCAATAAAATTAAAGGGTGGTTGGGACCTAATTCCCAACCCTAACATAGTTACACTTACAATACTCCAAGCTCTCCTTGAATTACTATTCCTTTTTGCTTATCTTTGGTGGATCCTCCCTTAGTTCCTTCAGCCACTCCCTCAATTCCTTGCTCTATCAATTTATACACAGCATAAGAAAGTTATTAGAATCAATACAATAGTAATTCAAGTTCAATTAAGCTATTTGGCACTAAACATATTCTGTTATGGCAGATTGTACACCTTGTAGTAATCTAATCATAACTTTTAATTTACTCATCGGATTTTCAATTTCCTTATACCCTTAGAAATCTAATTAAATTATCTTTCCATCAATGTATGGCTTGTATTTTAATTTATTATATATAATTACATTTTTGGATTTGAATTTAGACAATTTTCCAGTGACCAATCTGCTAGTCTTGTACTTCAATGTACTTTGGTGGACTAATTCACCTAAAATCCTTACCAGTTTAGCTTAGGTATTTTTACCATTATTCATTTTTATCCTTTCCATGAATTTTCATATCAACCTTAACCTTTAATACTTCAATTAAGTCCTTCAATTAACAGTTTTCCCAAAACTATCCAATTAAACTATTTTACCCATATATCACCTACAAACTTTCGAATTCTCTCAAATTGAGCCTCCTAACTTTATTATTTATTCAATTCGGCCCTTGCCTTGTTCTCAATTGTTTTTACCAATATTCAATTCTGTCCAATTAGACCCCCAAATTTACCAATTTGTTCAAAACAGTCCCTAATTGGATTCTTACAACCATAATGACTAATTTCACTTCTAAGGTCAAATTTTCGTAATTTCACCACATTGTCTATTGTTTAATGCTTTGAAACCCCTATAGTTTTCAATTTTTAGAAACTTGGTCCTGCACCCATTTTTCCAATTTGGTACACAACCTTTCAATTTTCTTGATTTGGTCACATGCATTAATAATCCATTTGGTTTTGACTTCAAAATGATGATCCATGGTTGTCCAATTTAACAAGATCCTAATCGTTTAAACTTAACGTGATTAATAAAATTTCTAGTATCATGCAACCTAACAATTTAAATGAATTCAATAGTCAAACTTAATCAATTTCTCAAGAATTAATTCAATCAATTCCATGTAATTCGAATAGAAAGAGAAGGGAAAAGCTTACTTGCTTTGCTAGATGACTTTCCCTATTTACTTCAAGCTTGAAATTAAGCTTGCATGGCCTATTTCCCTTCCTTCACTCTCTCAAAATTCTTCTCTCTATTTTCTTCTCTCAATTCGGTTACTAAGTGTAAGGAAGAAGATGATATTATTTCATTATTTGATAATGGAGATGGAAATGTCCACTTTAGCCTCACTTAGTGCTTCATTATTATACCATTCAAGGGCAAATTAGGAATCAAGGAATTTAGAATGTAATCTTAATGTAAATCATTTATTCCAATTTGATCATTCCAAACCGATCACCTTTCCTTTAATTCTTTCGATTAAGTTCTTGTTTAATTCAAGTAATTTAAATTCCAATTCAACTAGATTGTTATTCTAGGCAATTCGATTGGGTCCTTTTCCAGTCCAATTAATTTAAATTTCAATTAAATTTGGTTTTTACTTTTGGCAATTTAATTAGATATTTATCTAATTCGATTAATTTAAATCTCTTCTCAATTTGGTTTTTATCCTAGGAAATGTAGCTTAATTCCCCTAGGCTAGGATTTCAGGTTGTTACACTACTTGAGGCATCAACCCACATGTGGCATACCTCCGCTCGTTCCCTCAACCTTATTGTATTTTTTCATTGCACTATTTTTGTTTTGAAGAATTTTCAAAACATTTATTACACCGCTTAAAATGTATCGTATGTGTCGATACTGCCATGTCTATCAAGTCATTTTAGTTTGTTCTGTATGCAGAAAACCAAGCATTTGATCCATTTTGAACGCGATTTTGTATCTTCTTATTCTTGCACAAAACAAGTTTTGGTACAATTTTTAACGCAATTTTTAACATGCCTACAATATCTCGTATGTCTTTATATTAGCCTCAAATAAATGATAAATTTCAAAATTACACGAAGAATCTTATAATTACAAAAAATTCGAGATTAAATACCCAAAATGCCCCCGAATATTCCTATAAGCACTTGTGGTTTGTAGGAACAAATAAATACCTCACTTTTTAGAAAACGTGAAGTATGTTGAATACTTCTCGTGATAAATTTCTCAGGATAATTTCACAATATCTCGAGTATCTCACGATGTGGGAAACGCGAGATAATAAATAATCATATTAAATTAGGCAACATGAAAAATGCATAATACCTCACATCCTATAAAATGCAAGACACATTCTCTCTCTTTATAGGAAGCAATATACTCCTACATGTAGTTTGAGGGGCGATTTTTTTAACAAATTTATTAAGAGTATTGTTCAAAAAATAATAATTAATGGGGTTTTTAATATAATAACACCTATCACATGCCCCATTTATTTTTTTAATCATAATGGCGGTTCAGTTGGGCCATGATTTTGATTTTAAATTCAAACCTGCTTATTTTAAATTAACACGTGAAAAAGATTCTATCTTCTGAGATTTGACATAAAATATATGTATTTCTTGTGATTTGAAAATGTTCACCTAACCTTTTAAGGTGTGTATATGACGAATTTATCCCCTTTAATTACTTAATATTTTTTTATTATCTTTAACAAATTTTTATTTAATAGTTTTCAATTAAAATTGTAAAAATTAATTAATTATAAAATTATTTTAGTTATTATTAAATTAAATTAAAAACATATATATTATATTCTAATATAAGCTTATGTCAAATATATATATATATATTCAATTCGGTCAATATTCAACTGGGTTAACTCGACTTGAGACCTTAACAAGTTGAGTTGAGTAAGATCCAATTCAACTTGATAAGTTCGCGAGTAGATTGCTAATTCTTTTTATAGTTTTTAGTAGTTTCCTTACAAAATTATTTCATTAAAAAAGTCTAAATAATAATTACTAATTAACTAATATATAATACGAAAGATGATAAATTACTTAATAATTATCATTAATTTATTAATTTACTAGTTGATGTATGTATGGATTGTTACTTTTTTTTTGTGACAAAAATAAACCACGAGAGAGCTAAGTGGTGGTGCCTTAAGTACAAAGCATTGTGCTCGTCGTTGAGAGTTCTTTGCACTTCAGTAGGGGCTGATAAAAAATCTTGAGGTCCTGGTTGAGATCTCGGCCAATATTCGTCATGTTGTCGGCCAGTTTATTGCCTATGAGAGTTAACAGTTAATTTTCGTACACGTATACGTATTGTTAAACAAACTGAGATTCAACAGAAAAGCTAAGTGCATGATTAAGTATATCAGACAATATAAAAGCTTAGTAATGAAGACTGTAAATTAAATATAAATAAAGAAAAATAATAGAAAATATATAGATAAATAATAACAGGGTATACAACCAAGTGGTCCAAGTCATCTGTATATATATATATACATACATACAGATACATCAAGAGGCTGAGTTAAATTAAGGATCTGAGTTTGAGGTGTTGTCACTTGGATACAAGAAATTAGAGTTTGGTTTAATGGCAACTACAAATGAGGTTGAAGATGGGTTGAAGATGATAGAGGAGCTAACCACCAACGCCGAGCAAATACAAGAGCAAGTATTAGGCCAAATACTGAAGAGAAATGCAGGAACAGAATATCTGGGTCGATACCTCAATAGCAAAACTGACAAGAAACTCTTCAAAACGAATGTTCCCGTTGTTACTTATGAAGATATTAAGCCTTATATTAATCGGATCGCCAATGGGGAGACGTCGAACATCCTTTTAGTCGAACCAGTCATCGAGTTCTATCGAAGGTCTAAACTTCTTGCCCCTCTATGTAATCTTCTACTAATTAGAATTAGAGTCAATATCTAACATCCCGTTTGATTTGCAGCAGCGGAACCTCAGGCGGGCAGCCGAAGTGGATACCTGCCACGGCTGATGTATCTAATCTAAGGACACTGTTTCTTACCCTGCTAGCATCCGTGATGAACAAGTAAGAAACTGAGTTTTACATTAGACATGTAGCATATGCGCGTTGACCTAATATAACTTCATTTACAGGAACTTTGGTAACCTACACCAGGCAGGTAAAAGACTGGAATTTATGTTTACCAAACAAGATACAGAAACTCCTTCTGGCCTCAAAGCCGTATCTGCCACAACAAGCTTGTACAAAGACCAAGGCTTTAGAAACAATGTCTCCAAGTTTTATACAAGCCCTCTTGAGGCCATCTTTTGCTCAGACACCAACCAAAGCATGTATTGTCAATTACTCGTCGGTTTAGTACAGCGAGACGAGGTCGTATCAGTTAGCTCAATCTTTGCATCCGTAGTTCTAAGAGCCATCAAGTTATTAGAAGATCACTGGAGAGAGTTCTGCTCAAACATAAGTTCAGGACAAATTAGTGATTGGATCACCGACTCCGGGTGCAGAAATGCATTGTCATTGATCATGAAACCTGATCCTCAATTGGCTGATTCAATACGGAACGTATGCAGTAGTAAATCGTGGGAAGGAATAATCAAAAAGCTTTGGCCTAAAACAAAGTTTATAGCTGCAATTAGTACGGGTGTTATGAGTCAATATGTTGAAACACTCAAGTTCTACGGCGGAGGGCTCCCTTTAGTATCAGGCGTTTATGCTAGCTCTGAAGCCTATTGTGGGATCAATTTGGAGCCTCTAACTGAACCTTCTAATGTCTCTTACACCTTTCTTCCCAACATGGCTTACTTTGAATTCCTTCCCATCAACAAAGAAAGTCTAACAATGTATCAAGTGGATACAGAACCTGTTGATCTTGTACATGTGGAGCTTGGTCAATATTATGAACTACTGGTCACATCCTATGCAGGTAAGATCAATTTTCCTCTATGTAAGTATGTATGTATTCTTGATCATATCTATCTTTTTTCTTTTTCTTTTCAGGTTTATATCGATATAAAGTTGGAGATGTTCTTAAGGTGACAGGGTTCCATAATAGTACTCCTCAATTCCAATTCGTAGAAAGACAAAACGTTATTCTAAGCGTTCATACAGATAAAACAACCGAGGAAGACCTACTAAAGGCAGTGAAAGAAGCAAAGATTCTTCTCGAACCGCTTGGATACATATCAAGAGGACACACTAGCTACGCTGATACAAGTTCGATTCCCGGTCATTATGTCATATTTTGGGAGCTCAAGGAAAAAGAAGGCAACGATGGGCAAGTGCTTGATCCTAAAATAATGACAGAATGTTGCTATAGGATGGAAGAGTCATTGGGATATATATACGGAAGCAATAGGAAGCAAAATGCAATAGCATCTCTGGAGATAAGGGTGGTCAAACAAGGAAGTTTCGACGCACTGATGGATTACTATGTGTCCCGAGGAACTTCTATGACTCAATACAAGACACCTTCTTGCATTAACTCCCAAGAAGCCTTTAACATTTTAGACTCCAACGTGATTGCAAAGTTTTTCAGCCCAAAAACCCCTATGTAACCACTTGTATTTTCCTCTTATTCCTGCCTTTGTATGATGGACTCCAAGTCCCGATTACCGAAGGAATTGATCATTGTTTGAGCGTCTAATCTGTATTGAACTGTATTATATTGATGAACCATGTGTATGCACCATCAAGCCTCCTTACAAAGTTATTCCATGGAGCCTTTCGGTCTTACATTAGCAGTTGTAAATATGGTTGATATTTTAAAAGAATATAAAGAATCTTATATATGTTAGGAAAATTGTTGATGGAACAAAGATATTGAGTCGGATAAAGACGGTTAAATTTTTTAGTATATGTGAAGAGTCGTAGTCGGTGATCGATCAATAATCGACGGATTGTGTAAAGATAATGGAAGTTAGGTATTGAAGTAGAAATATTTCTTTGTGAGGGAGAGAACAAATTACTTAAACCCAAACCCATATATAAAAACTTTAACCATTAATAAAGCCTAAATCCATCTAAAAGCCTAAAAAATCATTTAAAACCCTAATGAATTTATACGCTGCCGTCCTATTTTAAATTATTTACCTAACCTTATAAAATATATGTATTATTTAAGATTTAAGAATATTTACCTAACCTTATAAAATATATGTATTATTTAAGATTTAAGAATATTTACCTAACCTTATAAAATATATGTATTCTTTAATATTTAAGAACATTTACCTAACCTTATAAAATATATGTATTCTTTATGATTTAAAAATATTTACCCAACCTTATAAAATATATGTATTCTTTATGATTTTAAAATGTTCACCTAACCTTCTAATATTTTATCTATTTTTATTATCTTCAATAATTGTTCACTTGTTACTTCACATTGAAGGTTTATAAACCGAAATTTAATTAAAAAGATTCTTCACAGAGAATATTTACCGAACCTTATAAAATATATATGTATTCTTTAATATTTACGAATATGTACCCAACCTTATAAAAATATATGAATTTTAATTTTAATTTAATTTTACGAAATATATCTTCATATTTCTATTTTTTAAAACTTTTATACTTTAGTCAATTTAATGTATCCGATCAATGAAATCTTAAATGCATGACATTGATTACACCATGACAATAGGTTTTTGTAAGAGTTAATTTGACTACCACGATTATGAATTTCGATACATGCATTGTTAAACAAAAGTAGAGATGGCAATTGGGTAGTTTTGAGTCTATGGTAGTTTGAGTCGGGTTGTACCAATATAAGATCGCTCAATTTTCGAGTCGGGTCAATATCATGATGGTTAATTTTGTGGTGCAACTTACCTTTTTAAAGAAATAAAATTTTCAATTATAAAATTCTCTCAATTAAAATTTCTAACTATATGTTTAAAGTTTAACTGTAAATATAATATTTTATTAAATTTTAAAAATATTATAAACAATCATATTTGGACTAATATTAGTTTGTACAAACCAAGTGTCCTCAGTTATTAAGGGATTGTTACTATCTCTTGATATTTCAAATTTGAACACCACATATGCATGAGTACTAGTGTTTATTGTCAATCGTTGATTATCACGTCCCAAAATCTTGCTAATATTTTATTTTTAATAATTCAAAAATTACACCATCTGCCAAAGGCGTTGGAAACCTTATCTTTGTTTTCTTCGTTTCTCAAAAGCAAAGTCACTATTTGACTCTTTTGTTCGTAGCTTTTCATATTTCCTCTTGGAAGCAAATCTACGGTGGAACCTATGTCACGACCATCAAATGGTTCAAAGCATATTCATAATTTTAGCTCAAATTTCATCCGACCAATATATAAGCCCAAATATTATATCAACATATGTCATTTTCAATAAAAAAAACACAAATGAAAGTCTAAATAAACAGAGTCCCGATGCATTACAAATCAGACCCATACCCATTTTACAAATTAAAGCTAAATTCGAAGTTCAGGCATTTCCAAAACTCAATTCGAGGTCCAGTAGATACAATACAGGCCCAACTAGTGCATTATGGTTTTACCTGGATCTTTGGTGCCGCTCAATCTCCTCCATCAGATCAGTAAGAGGGCATCCAATGGTCAAGAATCCTTCTGAAGACCTATTGTCTCCAACTCGCACACGTGAAGTTCAAATTCACCCCTAAAATTTTATATGTTCAAATTCATTGTGTTAAATTAAGAATCGGACTTTGAGGTGTTGTCACTCGGAGCCAAGAGATTAGAGTTTGGTTTAATGGCAACTACAAATGAAGTTGAAGATGGGTTGAAGATTATAGAGAAGCTAACCACCAACGCCGAGCAAATACAAGAGCAAGTATTAGGCCAAATACTGAAGAGAAATGCAGGAACAGAATATCTGGGTCGATACCTCAATGGCAAAACTGACAAGGAACTCTTCAAAAGGAATGTTCCCATTGTCACTTATGAAGATATTAAGCCCTACATCGACCGGATCGCCAATGGGGAGGCGTCGAACATCCTTTAGACCGAATCCGTCATCTAGTTCCATCGAAGGTCTAAATCTGTTTATTCAGATCTATTAGTCCAACTGTTGCATCTTCCTAAGCCAATCTCGTTTGATTTGCAGCAGTGGCACCTCAGGAGATCAGAAGCCAAAGTTACCTATCACGACTGAAATTCATGATCTAAGGACAATATATGTGACCCTGTTAGCATCCGTGGTGAAAAAGTAAGAAACTGATATTATATTTGACTTGTAACATACTTGTCACTTCTACGTTGGTTAAAAGTGGCATTCATTTACAGGCACTTTGGTGACTTGGACCAGTCGGGTAAAAGATTGGAATTCATGTTTGCCAAACCAGAGATTGAAACTCCTTCTGGCCTCAAAGCAAGATCTGTCACAACAAGCCTGTACAAGGGACCAAGTCTTTAGAAACATTATCTCCAAGCACTATACCAGCGCTATTGACGCCATCTTCTGTTCAGACCCCAACCAAAGCATGTATAGTCAACTAATCATCGGTTTATTACGGAGCGACGAGGTTGTATTTGTCGCCTCCTCCTTTGCAACAGCAGTGCTTAGAGCTATCAAGTTCTTAGAAGATCACTGAATAGAGTTACGCTCCAGCATAAGATCAGGTCAACTTAGCGACCGGATCATCGACCCGGACTGCCGAAACGCATTATCATTGATCACATCTCTATGTAAGTATGTATTCTTGGCCATATCTTTTTTTTTTCTTTTCAGGATTATATCGATATAAAGTTGGAGATGTTCTTAAGGTGAAGGGGTTCCACAATAGTACTCCTCAATTCCAGTTTGTGGAAAGACAAAACGTTGTTCTAAGCATTGATACAGATAAAACAAGCGAGAAAGACCTACGTACTAAAGGCACTGACAGAAGCAAAGACTCTTCTAGATCCACTCGGATTCATATTGAGAGGGTACGCTAACTATGCTGATACAAGTTTGATTCCTGGTCACTATGTCTTATTTTGGGAGCTTAAGCCAAAAGAAGGCAACGAAAGGCAAGAGCTTGATCCTAAAATAATGGCAGAATGTCGTTATAGAATGGAAGAATCATTGAATTATATATATAGAAGCTATAGGAAGCAAAATGCAATTGCAGCTTTGGAGATTAGGGTGGTCAAACAAGGAAGTTTTGATGCACTAACGGACTACTATGTGTCCCTAGGAGCCTCTATGAGCCAATACAAGACACCTTCTTGCATTAAGTCTAAAGAAGCAATTGACATCTTAGACTCCAAAGTGATAGCAAAGTTTTTCAGCCCAAAAACCCCATGTAATAAGTCATCTACACAAAATTTTATGTCGGGTATAAATTTTAGGAGGTATGAAATTAGATTATCAATAAAACCTAATGTAATGTAATCAGACACATACGCAAGAAGTCGATCCAACGACAATGGCAGAATGTTGCAATAGAATGGAAGAATCATTCGGTGTTATCTATTTGTCTAGTATGTGTCCGAGGCAAAATTCAGTTGGATCACCACGTATCCCAAGGAGCCTCTATGAGCCAATTTAATAAGTGGCTTTTGTGGAGGTGCCGTTTGCTTTAGTTTTCTGAAGTGTTTTGTTTGCGTTTTCCAGATGATGCGTTTGGGTTGCTTCTTTTAACTGTACATGATACGCTTGTGTCATTGGTGGTTTGAACTGCGGTCTTGTATGACTGTAAAAAATGAGTGCCTAAATTTTATATTTTTGTTAATTTAAATGTATTTTTTTTAAATAGGTATCTTATGTTTTTTATGTTATCGTATCTGACCATTAACGACTGTTAAAATAAATCCGCCAATCACTCACATGACATGTGTTGCATTTATAATTTTTTGAAGTTTTATTTAAAAAAACGTAAATTTATTATTTTTAAAAAAAATCTCTAAATTTCTCTAAAATTTAAAAATAATTCTAAAACCTTTAATCTCAAAGCCTATTATCGTCGTCAAACACATACTCACCCACCATCATGCTCCTATTGTTAAGTATCCCCTTATTTATAGTATAAATCTCCTACGTTCTTAAATTTAAATCCCTAAATTACCCTAAATAATAAATTCCTAAACTACCTATACCCAAATCTCCTAACCCGTGGCATTTCATACCCAAATCTCCTAAACGAGTGTCAGCTTAACTGTGAAATGATTAAAATACGCTTTAATTAGCAATTAACATTATTTTAAGGATATTTTTATATTTTACAATATTTATAAAATTTCCAAATAAACAATTAAAAACCATACTTAAGATTTCAACACCATATTACAACTATATACAAACTCTTTATCATTTATTTTGTTAAAAAATTTCATATATATATATATATATATATATATATAGCTTTACATAAAATGTTTTCATTCATTCACATCAAAGGTGTAGTAAAATAAAATATTAACCAAGTGTTTATGGTAGGAGGAATCAAATCATGTAAAATTAAAACATAAAGACTAAATATTAAATTTGAGCATAATCAAAGTATCAAAACTACAATTTATCCTATTAATATTCGCCGTCGTTTCAATTGCTTTCCTATGGAATACTGTCTGGCAAAGCGGCGAGGATAGGGCGGCGGAGCTGAAGGCGGTCGGAAACTGGTTTGAAATAGCAGGATCATTCTTTATTATATAGCATCAATCATCCAAAAGACGAAGCATAGCTTGAAAGTAAAGATGGGCG